ATATTTTCTGGAGTTAAGATTCCATTATTAATAGCATTTTTATATAAAATAAGATTTCCTTCTAGAACTTTTTGGCAATCTTAATTGAATAAAAAATCTGAAAAATCAAAAAAAAAGGAAGAAGTATCATTTAAAATATTTTAATCGTTTTTTATTTTCTAAAGATATTAAAATATATGAAGTTTTATTTTTTCATTTAAATTATTTTATTAATCTTTTGTTATTTGGAGACTTTTTTTTATTATTTATGAGTAGTTTTTTCCAAAAGTAATTTATATGTTTTCATTTGTAAATGCTTTTTCTATATTTTCCCATATATAAATTTTGAAACTTTTATAATCTTTTATTTAGTTTTTATCTATTTTTTCGAATAATTGACAAAAATATTCAAAAGCCTACTCTTGAATCAAATTACGTTCATTTCCTACTTCTTTATAGTTAAAAATACTACCTAATTAACCCATTATTTAATATAAATAGTCTTAATTTTTAATATATTTAGAAAATTCATAAATTAATTTTAATCCAAGAACTTTTGTGTGAATAAATTCTACATATTTAAAATTATTAAATAAGATTTGTATTAAAAGAATTATTTCGTCATTTATTTACTCTTCTTTTTTTTAATTATTTAAAAATTTTAATAATACTTTTTCTTTATTAAATTTTTATATTTCTTATAAAATTTATAAATGCTTTATATTTTTTTAAACTTTTTATTCATAATTTTCTATTTTTAATATCTTTTAATGAATTTCCTATAAAATAGAATCAATGAAAATAATTGTGAAATCAGTATTTTTCTAAAATTATAAATTCAAAATACAATCTATATTATGTATTAATTAATAAGCCTATTGATTTATATTTTATAAAAATTCGCTTATAAATTCATCTAATATTTTATATTTTCTTTTAATTATAATATTAATAACCATTTTTTGTATGTATTCTTCTTTAATACCTTAAATAATGTTTAAAGGAGAAAACTCGCCTTTCCCGAATTTTTGTACGGTCTCATATGTAAATAAAGGATGTTCTGTTTCTTAGAATAGATAATTAATTATACATCCTAAACTAAAAATATCCATTTATTACATTTTCTAAATTATTTATTACTCACCTAATTCTAAATTATTGATTTGGAATTTTTCAGGCGCTAAACTGCAATTTTTTTCATGAGTTTTAAAAAAAAATCTCAAATCATGTAATTAATCGAGAATAAAAAGAGGTTTATAATGTGCGAAATCAGAAACATATACATGGTTTGAAGTTGTGAGTAAAATATTTGAAGTACATAATGAGCCGTGGAATGTATTTTGGGAATGAATATATTTTAGGGCTATTATTATTTGGAATAAAATATATTGCTTTTATTAAAGATTTAGTAAAGGTTTTTATAATAGTCTTTCTTATAATGTTGTGAACATTTTTTAACGAGAAATTAATATAAAATGGTGATTTTCGTAATATTTTTGAAAGGGTAAAATATTTGGGTGATCTATAAACAATTAATATTAATGCTAAAATTAGGCTTGAATTTCTTAAGATATTTTTACGGTTTCTTTTAGATATATTTTTATTATAAATTAAGATTGGGGATCAGTACGACTTTTACATTGAATTGTGCGAAATAATTTGTTTTGGAATAATATTATTTGAAATTAAATTTCTTTGTTTTATTCTAACCATTTGTGAACATAATTTATATTGTTTTTTATATTGGCTTCTGTTTGGGAATTTCCCATTTTTTTTTATTTTTTTTTCCAAAAAAAAAATGTTAAGTTTAGAAAAGTAAATTTATTTTCTTTAATTATAATTTAAATTTTTTTTTTTTTTTCTATATTCTATCAGATATCTAATTATTTTTATTTTTTACAAAATATAAATTGTATATTTTATTGAAATATTAGTAATTATTTTCATTAAAAAAAAAAAAAAAAGATGAAACATTTTTAGAAATATGATAATAATCAATTAAATACTTTTTTATTTAATATATTTTTTATAAAAAAATAAATAAATAAATATTATTTATGTTCAAATTATACAATTTTTTTTTTTTTAAATAAAAAAAGTAATATCTTTAAACTTTTAGAAATAAAATATATTTAACTTAATCATTTATTTTATTAAATAAAATATAAATTTAATATACAAAAACTTTTAAATTATATTAAAAATAAATTTATATTTATGTAAATTATTTTTAAAGTTAAAATACTTTTATACTTAATAATTAAGAAGTTCTAAAAATTAAAAAAGAAAATACACTTGAAAGATTGTTTTATAATATATAATTTATAATTATATATAATATATATTATTCCTTTTAAAATACATTTAATTAATAAAAAAAAGGACAAGAAATAATAATTTTAAATATTTTATATGCTTTATGATGGTTTTTTATTATTTTCATTTAAAAAATCTTTATTTTTGTTAAATATTTTAAGCTATGTGTACTTTTCTTTTAAATTTGTTTTTAATAAACATTTTTAGTTACAAAAATTTCAGTCATATGTTACCATTCTTTTATTATTTACTTTATTAATTTTATATTAATTATTGATTCTTGTATTTACAAAAGTATTTTCTTTAAAAATTTTAGTTTATAAAAGATTTGTTTCTATTAATTTTTTTAATTGTTAAAATTTGATTTTTTAATATATTTTATTATTTTATTTATTCTTTAGCATATTTTTGTTTATTTATTTATATAATTTCCTATCTTTTATTTATTAAGTGTAATTATATTTCATATTGCTGAAAACATTTTTTATATAATAAAGGGTTTTTAAGGTAATTATTTGATATTTAATTTTTTAACTCTATTCTATTTTAATATCTTAAATAAAATTATAATTTATTTTTTTATATAAATTTTATAAATTTAATTCATTTTCTTTTAATTTTTTGATACTGTCTTATGATTTTGATTTTAAATATTAATTTGAACCTTTTATATTTTTTTGAAATATAATCATTATATCATATTATTATTATTTTAAATAAATTCTTATATATTAATATTTTTCTATTTATTTTATGACAATACTTCTTTATTTTTATAAATAGCAAATTTTAATATGACTATAAATTACATTAAATTAAAAATTAATATTTTATAGAAAACGAAAAAAATTAATATTAAAATAATAAAATAGCTTTTTTAAAAAAAAATCAAATAAACTAATAATGATATAAACGTAATATGAATAAGATATAAAATTATGTATCTAGAATAAAAAAAGTTAATATAGAATTGAAATAAGAAAAAAAAATGTTAATAAATAATACATTAAAAACGATTGAAAATATTAGAAAATATAGAATAAAATGAAACAAATGGTAACAAAAAAAAAAATAGTAGACAAAAAAAATATGTGATTATTCTTTTTTATATTAACAAAAATAGATTAAATAATAGAGATATAATAAGATGAATAAAATATAAAAAAATTATCATAAAGATTATTTGAAAATTTAGAACTTCAAAAATATAATGAATGTGAATATGTTATATGTTAATTTGAAAAATTAAGCCAATATCATAAATAATATTGTGTAAATATTTAGACTTTTTAACTTTACAAATGGATGATAAATAATAATTTACATATTTATTGTGTATAATTTATTTAATCAAAATTTGAATAATATCCAAATTTGTAAATTAACTCTTCAAGTTTATTGGCAGATTTATCAGTTTAAATGTAAAAAGATTAAATACATGATATCATTTGTTATAATTTTTACAATATACTAATATTAAAAATTTAACTTTAAGAAGACTATAAATAACTAGATTATGTAATAATAAAATGAAATAAATAATTAAATATAGAAATAAAAATATATATAGTAGATATATATATAATACATATAAATAATATATATATATATATATAAATATATATACGTATATATATATATATATATTATTAACTATAGTTGTTTCATTTTACAGGAAATATTTTAGTTGATTAAAATTATAAAAAAGAAGGTCAAAAAGAACTATTTGAAAGAAATATTATTATGGCATTTAAAGATTTACTAGAAAAACAGAACCTAAGGATTTAGAAGTATTTATTGCATCTTCATTATTTTTTCTAGAGCACTTATTAAAAGATCATTAGGAAGAATACAGTTATAATGTTAATATAATTATATATATATATATATATAAATATATATATATATATATATATTTATTTTTAATAAATATATATATATATAAAGATTCCTTCATTAATCCCTATTTTATTAATTATTTTAGATTAATTTTAAAAAAAATCATGTTAATAGCATTGTTTAAATATTTTAAGAAATATACTCAGAACACCATTCAGATTAAACTCAAAACTTTATTTCTGAAAACTACTTTACTATTATTGGAATTTTAAAATAAAAAGACAATGAAATATTAATAGATGGATTAAATTTAATTGATTAAATAATATATAATGGAAATGATTTTATAATTTTATAATTTGTAGAATTTGGGGTTGTAAGTTGTTTAATAAAGGTATTATAATAGTAAAACCTTAATTGTAGAAATGCCGCATCTTTGATATTATCGAATATAGCTACATGTAAAAATGATTATGTTTTAGAAGTTTTGATTGAATAAAGAAATTATGAGTTAATTATCTAATGTTTGATTAATGATGAGTTGAAAATTAAAATTAACTTAGCACATTTTTTGCTTAATATAGTAATTAATTCAAACTTTTGTAAAATTAAAATTATGATAAATCAAAAAGAGTTACTTAATTTTCTAAATTAAATTATTAAAAATTATAACTTTAATGCTAATATTACTATAAAATGGCTTTATTCCCTTTAATGTATTTTTGAATAGTTACTGTATTGTGATGATATTAATTTTGTTAGGGCTATTTTGTAGAATATGGAATAAACTGGATTGTTTTTTTAGATATAAAACTTGTTAAATTATGATAGTAACGAACAAGTGTGTCAAATATCATAAGAAATTTATGATTAGTATATTTATAAATATTTATAGATTAAGTGATTAAAAAAATTTTAATATTTAAAAAAGATTAATTAATATATTATATTTTTTAATTATATTTATAATATTTTTTTTTTATATTTTTAGTTATTAAAAACTATAATTAGATAGGAAATTTATAAAAATAATAAAAATGCAAATTAAATAATTTTATAATTATAAAATATAAAAATTAAAATATTTAAATTTTTTTTATTTTTTATAAAAAATTAAATAATAATTATTTAATATAAATAAATATTATAAAAAAAAAAAAAAAAAAGATATGGTAAAAATGGATTTTTAAACTGGTTGGAAACAAATAGAACCATGTATATAAAAGCTTCATATTTTGTTAGATAAGTAATTTAATGGTTAAGAACTTGAAAAAGAAGATTAAATAACTACTACCTAATATAGCAATACTTATACGTATATATTTTAATTATTTATTTTATTATAAAAGACTTAAAAATTATTTTAGAATCATATATAATATGTGTCTTGAAAAATAATTAAAGAATCCAGAATAATTGTATGAAGCTTATAAAGATCAAATATAATTTTTTGTTATTAATAAAGTATTATTTTTTAAAAAAAATTATAATTCGTTTTCCTATATATTACTATTAGCATTAAAATTATAAATGCTTAATTTTTATTCTTTTTTTTAAAAAAAAAATAAAAAAAAAGATTTATTAATAAGTAAAAGATTTAAAAGGAGAAATTTTATTAAATGCTTTGACAAGAAAATGGGAAAATCATTTAATTTTTACAAAATTTATGACAAGATTTTTCTCATATTTAGTAAAAAAAAAAAAAATATATATTTATATTATAATAAAATATTTTTTTTTATAAAAAAAAAAGGATAAATCGCATATCGAACATAATAATTTACCAAAATTAAGATATATTGGTAATTTTTATTTAAACAAAAAAAATAATATTAAAAAAAAAAAAATAAGCAATAAAATTTTACGAGAAATATGTTCATAAAAATATAAAAGATAATATAATAAAAGCATTTTAAGATTATATAAATAAAGATAGATAAAATGAACTCGTAGACAAAGAATAATTAAAGAAAATATGCGATATATTTATAGAAATAAACAGAAATGAAAGCCCTCATCCAAACGAAATTTACTTTTAATTGGAAAAAGCTTAATTGATGATGCTACATTTTATTATTAAACTAAATTTAAAGAATGGAGTGATACTATGTCTTGTGAAGAATATTTATGGAACACTAATAATTTATTAGAATAAGAAAAAAATAGATTCGCTTAAGCTTTACATAGATTTTCTAATACTCATGAATAGATTAGTAGTATTTTTAATGATGAAATGATTAAAAATTATAAACCTATTTTACTATCTAAAGATTCTGGATTTTAATATATGTTAATAAATGAAAAGACAAAAGTTTTTTAATTTTAACTTTTTATAAAAATAAATATATAAATATATATATAATAAATAGGTTTTGTAATTAGTATATAATTTATATAAAAAATTAAATGATACTTTTGAGGATATACGATAAGCTTTTAGTGATTATTGTGCTTAGATTGGATAAGATTTAATAAATTAAAAAATAGATGCGCATTTAAAAGAAGAAGAATTAGAAAAATAATAATAGTAAACATAGTAAAATATTTAGAAAAAATTATTATCATATGCAATAGTAAATATATATATATATATATATATATATATATTTATATAAATATTTTAATATGAAATAATTATTTTTTATTCATTCATTTAGGACTATTAATTTGTTGAAAATATATTTAAATATTTCCATGATATAAATCATATTATTAATTCTAATTTTTATTAAGACCCTATATTTAAGGTTTCATTCAAAAATGCATTAGATAGATTTTTAAACGTTTAAATAGATGTATAAAAATCTTTAAAATTAAACTATATAATTTAAATTTAAAGGACTATGGAGTACCTGAATTATTAGCAAATTATACAGATAAAACTCTAAGAAAAGGAGCAAAAGAAAATGAAGATGAAATGGAGAAAAAAATCGATAAAATAATAGAAGTATTTAATGATTTAAATGAAAAAGACATATTTTTAAATTTATATTAATCTTAATTAGCACAACGTCTTTTAATGGAAGAATCTGAAAGTATATAATACGAAAAGGTAATGATAACAAAAATAAAGGGATGTTGTGGATAAGGAACAGAAATAAAGAATTACGAAGGTATGTTAAACGATATAAATTTAGCTAATGAATATAAGAAGTAATTTAATGATTATATACAAAATAAACATAGAAATAAAGAAAGCTTGAAACAATATAATAATATTAATATTTGTGTAAAAGTTTTATAAGAAGTCAATTGGCCTACTTATATGGATATAAATTTGAATTTACCATAATACATATAGGATATTATGGAAGAATATAGAGTTTTTTATTAAGAAAAGAAAAAGAACTAAAAATTAAAATGGATAAATTGCTTATGTTAATATGAAATTAAAATACATCATAAAAATGAAGATGGAAAAGAAACTAAATATACAGTTAATATGAATGGAGTTACGGCTATTATTTTACTTTAATTTGAAAAAATTGACGAGTTTGTACCTGTTAGTTTTATTTTGAATTTAGTTGGAATTGATTTGGATACATTTAAGAAATATGCTTTCCATTTAGTATTTTTTTATTTTTTATTTTTTAATGTTTACTTTTTGTTTCTTTATATATTTTAGTTTAGATAGAAAATACTTATTATTTAATAAAATGAAGATTAAGAATATGTAAAATATAATAATAAATTCTAAAGCAATAAACTTAAGTTTAGTTTACCTAGTCCTAGTAGTCAGAAGAAATTTAAAAGAGGTATATATTTTTATTTTTAATTTATTTATTTTTAAAAATAAAATAAAATAGAAACTGTAAATGAAAATAGAGATCATGCTATTGAAGCTGCTATTGTTAGAATAATGAAATCAAGAAAACAATTAGAATTTTCAGAATTGGCTACTGAGGTGAATATTATGATGAAGAAATTTAAACCTAAACTTATTTAAATTAAGAAGAAAATCGAATCATTAATTGAAAGGGAATACATAGAAAGAGATTCGGAAAACAAAAATATTTTACATTATAAATCTTGAAGAATAAAACTTTTTATTTTTATATATTTTTTTTTATTTATTTATTTAATATACTATTTTTTTTTTAAATTTTTATTTCTTTTTTTTTTACTTTTATTTAAAAAAAAAAAAAAACAAAACAATTAAACAAAAAATTAATATTTGACTTTTAATATAATATATATATATATATATATAAAAAGCAAATAAATATAATATTTTTTGCGTTTCATTTAAGTTCTGCTAATGTTGGCGATTCTTATATTTTTTAATGACTTTCAACTTCATTTGATAATTTTTATGTATAAGGATTATTTGTAATTAAATAATATGAAAAAAACTCGACAGGATTAACAGGTCTTTCTTTTTCTAATGCTTCTAATGCCTTATATATAGTCGGAAGAGTTGTTTTTTCTAAATATAAACGAGTAGGAAGTGCATTTACACTAATTTAAGGTTGGGGTTCAAGTGCTCGTTATTATGCAAAAAGAGCTTCTTATTCATCATCTAGATCGAATTCTGGATCAATTTTTTTATTTGCCATTTTTTGTTTAAATTTTTGTTTTATAATTAAAAAATAAATATTTTATTATATATATACAAAAAAAATAAATTAATAAGTATATTTTTTTTATAAATATAGAAAAAAAAACAAAAAATGAATGAAGAAATATTATTTTTAAAAAAAGACTAGAATAATCTAAAAAAGAAAATGAAATTTTAAAATAAGAAAATCAAATTTTAAAATAATAAATGTCTTCTTTAAAATAAACAGTTACTAATATTTCTATATCTAGACCAAAAACAGCTATTGTAGAAGAAAAAAATTAAAAAAACGAAAAATAATTAAGATTTGTTCTAGATTATTAAAGAGATTATATAGAATAATTAGAAAAAGATGTCGAAAATTATAAATAGAAATATGAAAGCATTCTATATAAAAATTAATAATATTAAATAAAACCAGAAAGTGTTCTTTTATAAGAAAAATTTTCTTCTTAATAGAATTAATTTTATGATTTAAAAGAAGAAAATTAATCTTTGAAAGAATAAATTTAAATAATAAATTAATAATATTCAAGTTAAATTGCTAAACTAAAAGTAAAAATAGCTTCTTAAGATGCAATACTATTTTCTAATAATAACATTTTAAATTAAAATATTAAAATTCCATTGGGACCTATTTAAACTTCTTAAAGTTTAGTATTTCAAAATAATATAAGTAATATTAAGTATAATAAAAATTAATTCTGATTTAATTAAAAAATATATATATATAAATATTAATAATATAAATAAATAAAAAAAATATTATTATAAAAAATAAATATAAATTAAAAATGTTAATAAAATTAAATATAATAAAGAATATATATATATATATTTATATATATATATATTTATTTTTATTTTATATATATAATTTTTTTTTACATAATTATATTTTTTATTTTTTTATTCATATTTAATTATATTATCTTTAATAAAATATACCTAAGTCTTTTTAATATTTTTTTTAATTTATACATAAAATTATTATTTTTTAATTATTAATATTTATTTAACTAAAAAGTCAGATATTTTGTTATTATAAAAATAAATTAAACAAATTAAAAATTAAAATTAAAATAAAATAAAATAAATGCCATATTAATCATTTAAAAACAATAAAAAAAAATTTAATGAGTTATTGAAAATAGCTCTTTTAAAAGGTTCAAAGCCTATAAAAGAAGATTTGTTTACAATTATATTTTATTTGCGATAAATGTATGGCATTTTAATTGGAATTTTATTCGGAATTTAGGGTTTTACAGGAATATATTCATTTGGAGGTTATATGATAAGTAACTTTTATTTGTATATTTATATTCATTTAAATACCTATAAATTGATGAAAATGACTTTGAACTAAATGATTTATATACTGAATCATTAATGCTTTCGGTTATGAATTATTCACTTTCCTGGACTCTTTCTTATACTTTTATTTATTTAAAAAATATAGTACCTTTGCCCGCAAATAATTTTAATTTTATATCTCCTGATTTATGAAAATGATATATATATATAAATATAAATAAAATATATTTATTTTTTAATATTTATTTAATTTTTTCTTTTTTTAAAAAAAATTATATTATATATTTTCTTTTAAATAATAAAAAATAATTAAATATTTTCACTTTTTTTTATATGTTTTATTAGATATTTTTATAATAAAAATTTAAATATTTTTTTTTAAATAATTATTTAAAATTAAAAAATAAATGGATTTAACGAATATAAATATAGAATCTAGAGTTCCTTATGGAGGAATAACAGACATATAAGGCGCTAAATAAGTAGCTAAGAGTATTTTCGAATTGTATGATAAAAACGGAAGCGGTGAAATAACTTCATCTGAAATATTTGGAATGATGAAAGATGCATATAAAGATATGGGTAAAGGTTTTAATCCAACTAAAGCTGATACTGATACTTATTTTGATGTTTTAGATAATAATAAAGACGGGAAAATAACATTATAAGATTTAGAAGATTTAGCAATTAAATATTTAGTTGGAAATAATCATCGAAACATATGAGAATAAAAAATATAAATATATAATTTTTTTTTTCTATATTTATAAAGTTTTTATTTTTTTTATAAAGAAAATTAATAAAAACAAATACTTGAATTTTAGAAATATATATAAATATAATATTTTTGTTTTTTTTTTTTGCTTTTTTTTTTTCAAAAATCTTATAATTCCCTTGTTAAATCTGAAGGTAATATTTTTATATTTTTCTATTTTAAAATTAAGCTTTTTTACAATTATAATTAATGTATTTATTAAACTATTTCTAATTATTATTAGTCTAAATTATAAGGATCAGAAAGTACTTTTTATTTAATTTGTAATAATTATTAAGGTGATATATTTATATTTTCGAGAATAAATTAATCACTGATTTCACAATCACTATCTTGTTCATTATTATTATTTTAGGAAAGAATACTTATATTAACATTTTATAAATTTAATTAGAGTTTTTCTTTTATGTTTAAAGGAAGATTTTTATTGTTTTAAGCGAAGTTTTTTTCGTAGTTTTTTACGTGGTTTAACATTTATATACTACTCGTTTCTTTTTATTTTTTTTACCAAAAAAACCAAAACTACTTTCGTCTGAATCATTTATTACTAAATTATTAAAAATAATTATTATATAATAAATAATATATATAAAATATTATAAAAATATATAAAAATTTAAAAAATACTAGATTCATCTGCAAAACCTTCTTCATTTTAATTATTATAATTTTTTTTTTTAAAAAATAAACTATCATTTGATTATTATTATATGACTTCTTTTTAATAAATTTCATCAATATTAATTCCTTAAGATCTAAATTAAATTAATTAATTAATATAATTTTATTCTTGTTCTAATAATTAATTTATTTTTTAATATTGTTTTTATATATGATTTTAATAAAGTTCATTTTCTTAAATTGCATTTAGATTTTATATTTCTTCCCCTTTCGAATTTTATATATATATTTATGGTTTTTTATCCAAAATACTCATTTAAATTTCTTATTATGATGTTTGAGTTTAAGCGTTATTTTTTTATGGGATTTTTTAAATTAAATAAGCTTTTTAATTCATTAAGTCTTATATTTTTTATTAAAGCATTATCTCTTTATTTTAGTTTTTTTGTTTTTTTATTTTTCAATGCTTTCTAAAGATTATAAATTTTATTGCATATCTTAAAATAATTACTAATTTGAATTTTCGAATGTTTTTAAAATTTCTAGGACTCTAATGAGCTTTTTATAAGGACTTTTTTATGTTTTTGAATCAAAATTTAGATCTTGCTACATTTATAATATTTTTTAGTGTTTATTTGTAATGTTTTTTTCTTCTAAATTATTATTGTTGTTTCTTTAAGGAGATTTTTTCTCAAATAAATAAATATTATCGCAACTAGTGTATTTTTTATTTTTAGAAAGATTAATTTAAAGTTTTTAATTTTTTTATTTATGCTAAGAATATATATAATTAAAAGTTTGACTTTTATTTTTTTAAAGAACATCATTATTTTTAGATTAAAATTAATTATTATAATAAAATGTATTTTAAATAGTTTATCTATTTTTAATTTTTTCGCTATTTTTAACAATGTAAAAACTGATTGTTTAATTAAAGTTTTTTTACTTATTATTAATGATATTATTATTATTATTATTATTATTATTATTATTATTATTACTATTTATATTATTGTTTATATTTTATTAATGTATATTTTTTAATTATTCTATAATTTTTTATTTATTATTTGTAATTTTATTTATTATATTTTTTTTTTAATATATTTTTAATTATGTTTCTTAGCTAGTCTTTTATTATTCATTTTTTTTTTTTTCAATATAAATATTTTGTTATTCTTAATTTTATATTTTATTTTAATCTATTTCTGATATTAATCTTCTACATATTTATTTATTATTTGTTGAATATTAATTATTTTTTGTAAATTATTAATTATTTAAATTAAACTATTAATTATTTATATTTTGTTATTAATTTTTTATTGAAATTTATTAATTAGTTTATTTCTGTCCATTATTTTGCATTTATTAATTATTTATATGGAATGAAAAATGTTATTTTTTTTAATTTTTTGTTGTTTTATTTTCATTTTTTTATATGTTTTCTTAATTTTTTTCATGTTTTAATGTCATACTTTAATTATTTTGGCTATTTTAAATTGGTGAAATCAATTAACTATTACATATTTTTTTGTAATAATTTTTATTATTTAAATTTTCTTTTTTATTAGTTTCTTGTAAATTTAAATTTATTTATTTGAACATTTTTTTTTTAAAAAAAATTTATGTAAACTAAAATAAAAATTTAATTTGAATTTAATTATTTATTTATTTTTTAAAAAAACAAATTTATAAAAAAGTATAAATATGAAAAATAAATTATATATATAAATAATGTAAAAATTTCATTAAAACTAAGGTCCTAAGCAATAAAATTAATTTTATTTTTTTATATGTTTCGGATTTTCAATCTAACCTTCATCCGAAGGAATAATATTTTCTTAATTATACAACAAAGAAGATATATCTAATGATAGCTTAGAATTTAATTTATCATCACTAGAGCAAAAATTCCAATAGGAATCATATTTTTCAACATTTTACTTTAAATTTTTTACAACATCTTTTTTAATTATTCTAGTAATATCGTTAATTATTAAAAGCGAATGATAAGATCCACAGGCCATCTTAATAATTAAATAAATATATAATATATATAAATATATTTTTTTATTTATATTCTAAATTTTTAAAAACACAATCAAATAAATAATAAATAATAAATAAAATAAAAAGTAAATTTTTTAAATAAATTAATTAATTAATATAATATATATATATATATATAAATCTATAAATAAATTAATATATATATATATATATCTATAATTTTATTATTATATTTTTTATATATAAATATATATATATTTTTACACTATAAGCTATTATATCTTATAAATAAGTAATAGGACGGGCCATTGAACTATTTTATCCTGTATCTCCTATTCCTAATTAGCCATGTTTATTCATTCCCCAAGCAAATACCATATAGTGTTTTGTATCTGCTAAAACGAAAGCTAAAGAATGATTATGTCCACAAGATAAATGCAATACAGGCATTTAATAAAAACAATCCATTCTTTTTGGTATATATATATTGTTATTATTTTTACTATTATCATTTGCTTTATATTAATCTATTTTATTAATTAAATTATATATTATATATATATTTATAATATTAAATATATATTATATATATTATATATATATATATATTTATATATTTAACCTATTATATTTATATTTTGATTTAATATAGATTAGTTATGTGTGTTTTATATTTTTATAGGTAGCTTTTCAATTCCTAATTGATTTTAATCATTTAAACCACAACAAAATACCTTATTAAATTTATATTTTTTTATATTAATATTTTTTACTTATTTATTTTGATTCATGAACATTGAAAATGTTTATCCGGAAAAAATCTTTTTTTTTTATTTTTTTATTAGCAAAAAATATTAATATTTTACTTTTTCTATTTTCTATAAATTCTTAATTTATTTAGGTTCACTAACTTATTTATCACTTTATTATTATCCTAATCCCAATTATCCATTAATATTATATCCCCATCCAAAAACCTGTCCATTTTAAGCCAAAGCAAGTGAATGAGCATCTCCTGCTGCAATTTATTTGACAAAAACGCCTTCTAATTATCCACATATCTTCTCAGGAAGGCAACAGAAGTATAAATTATCTTTCAAAACATCTTAATTTAAACCTAATTATCCTCCTTCATTTCTTCCCCAACTATAAACATGTCCTTTTTTTGTAAGAGCAAGTGAATGTAACCCACCACAAATAATAAATTCAACCTATAAATCTTAAAATTTATCTATTATTTTTGGTGAAGCTTATATTTCTTCATTACTATGACCTAAAAGCCCACCTTCACCTAAATAAAAAAATCAAAATAAAATAAATAAATAAAAAATATACCGTTTCCCCAACTATAAACTTAATTTCTATTATCTAAAGCTAAAGTATGTTCTGATCCGCATGAAACATTGATAATATTTTAAATATTAGGTATTTATACTGGATAATATATAGAATTTGGACTATTTATACCTAAACCTAATTAAGAACTACTATTATCTCCCCAGACAAGTACATTTCCATTAAAAGTAATAGCCACACTATGTTAATAACCACAAGAAACTTAAATTATAATTGAATCTTTTAACGGATAGACTAATTTGGGAAAATTAATTTTTATTTTGCGATGTTTTGGGTTATTGGTTTTGGGATCATAGACATTTCCCATTTAACCTTCAGTATTTTAACCCCATGAATAAAGGACACCTATGGCGTCTTTTTTAGAAAATGTAGATGAGTCTTTTTCTAGAATTTAAACTATGTTTCCAGATTAATTTATTGGTTTATTTTTTTCGAATTTAGAATATGAACTTGCTTCAGTTTTATCCTTTTTTTTTTATTTTAAATATATTTATATATAAATTTTTAACATTTTTTATTTTTTCTAAATTTTTTGTTTTTTTTTATTTTTTTTGTTTAAAAAAAATAAAATAACAGAAAAAAGTAAATAAAAAATACTAAAAAGTAATATATATTTACTTCTGGATGTTTAAAAATAGAAGATGCTCCAGATTATGAAATATATGTATTAGACATTATTTAAAAAAAGAAATATTTAAGAGAATTAGTTTCCCAAGAAATACTTATTGGGAAAAAAATTAAAAGATTTTATAATAAATATTAAATTATTTATATGTTATTTTTCTTATCAAATGTTTAATGAACTACATTCTCATTATTTTTATTTTCATCGAAAAATTTCAATGTTTCAACCCAATGAGGAAACATAAAATTATTAGTATTACCTTATTTTTCTATATTATTATTATTATCTTTTTTTTCTATATTTTATTAAGAATTATTTTAAATGAAAATATCTTAATCAAATTTTTCTGAATTAAAATTATTTTATAAAGGTTTAAAAGGATCTTGGTAAATATAATGTTCAAATTTATAGGAATTTAGGTAATTTTTATTTAATCCGAATTATATACAATCAAATATTTCCTCTAAATATTCAGCATCGTGAATTTTCTATTATTATCGTGCGATTATACTTAATCTCCAAACTATAAATTACTCCCAAGGGACTATTTAAGATCCTCTACCTCTAGGATCTCCATATAATTTATGAATCGAAAGCAAAGCCATCATATAATTTTGTTCAGATTCGACTAAGCTCTTATTTTCTTAAAGAATACCATTGAATGTATATATTGTTATTATTAACTCAGCTGAACATAATGATTATATTGATAAAAAAGGAATTATTTTGTCCTACATTATTGCTATTTATTAATCTTCTTCTTCATTACTTAAAAATATTGAATCTATTAGTTCAAATATAAAGAATTCTAAGAATATATTCTATTCATTTTCTAGAGCACATAAGCTACCGAATATACAATATAAATAAGAAATGAAATCTTTCAAAGTTTCTCCTTCTGGGAAATAATATTTATTTTTTAAAAGACAATCTTTTTATTTATTTTTGATTTTATAAAGACTGCTTGGTAAAATTATTTCTAAATTTCTATTTTCAAAATATATATAAATATATATATATAAAAATATATATATATATATATATATGCATTTATATTATATGTTATTACTTTTAATTAGATTTTTTATTAGAACTAAATTTAAGTAAATATAAATATGTTATTTCTTTTATTGATAAAAAATGTTTACATTTATAAATAATCGCATGTATATCATAACTTTTTAAATTCGAATTATTTATAAGGAAATAAAATTTATCGTTTCTTACTTTTTTTTCGATTTCGAATGAAAATCCAATCTATAAATTTTATTATATACCAAAAAAGAATATATTAGTCTCATTTTGGCCTATTTAAATTATATCTTTTACAATTTAACAACTTAAATAATACATTAATTAATTTTATTTTAATATTTTTTAACTATAATTAAATGATTTTAATTTAAATAAATTTATTCCAATTAATATTTCGTTATATGTATTTATATTATTCTAATCGTTATTATTTCCATCTACTCCTTTTATAGCTGTATTTATATATTTTATGCATGTTTATTTAAAATATTAGTCTTTTATGAATTGAATTTTATCTTTATATTAAATTTCTTGGTTTTTTAGACCTTTTAAGTAATTAAATTTGGAATTAGTTAATTCTTTTATTATGTTTTTTATAACTCGTGATAATATGTCACTTCCAACAAGATTTTTTGCTCTTTTTTTATTAAAAAAATATATAAATCTTTTAGGTTTTTATTTTATACTTTTATGTTTTTAACATTGAATATAATAAAATTTAAAATCTTATATTAAGTCCTTTTTAATGGAAAAGCTCTTTTATAGATGCATGGTTAATTATTTGGTCAGTATTATCTAATATTTATGCTATTTGTATTAATTATTATTTATAGGTTTTAATTAAGTGATTTTCTTGTTCTTAATTGTAGCTTACAGAAAATACATTTTTTTAATTTTAAACATTTTTATCTCTTGTATTTAAAAAAATTATAATAAAATTAATAATAATTAAATATACTTATAATTAAATATTTAGAAAGTATTATTATCATAAATTAATTAAGGGTGTATAAAAGAATTTTTATTTTTAAATTTTTAAAAAATTAGAACGTTTCCATAAACTAAATTTAAATCTCTAAAATATATATATAAAAAAAAAAATATATATATATATATATATAAATTATATAATATATATTTATATATATATATATTTATATATATATATTCTTTAATTTTTGATTTTCTTATAAAAAAAATATATTAATTAGTTTTTATTTTTTTTTCTTTAAAATAATTTTAGATAGAATTAAAATACTTATATAAATTTCTATTTTACCTTGTTTTTCTATGAGAAAACATTAAAAGATCAGATGCTCTTTTATTTAAAGGTAATTTATTTTAAACTTGTTCATTAAAAGATAAATAGATCATAATAAAATCAAATCCTAATTTATGAAATTTGATTTAATTTAAAGCACTACTTTTATTATTGTTGACTGAATTTTTTTATAAATGTTCTGTTTTTTACTAATTATGATTAAGTGAAGAAAATTTACAATCGATATCATTATACCCTAATATTTATATAATTTTACTAATTTTTATATAACCATCAGAAGGAACTTTATAGTAAACATTACTAGAATTAATATCATAAGGAATCATAAATAAAATATTAATTTCTGATTGTTTAGGTATCAAATCAATAAAATTAGTAATAAAATAATAATTATTTTAGTTTGTATTTTGATTATTTATAGGATTTAAATATTGAATATGTTCGTCTATTTTATTATATTAGATTATGCTGTTCGCTTTTAAATTTCTTAAAAGTAATGTATTTTAATATAAATATTAAGCTTTTTAAAATTTTATATAATAAAATGAAAAAATATAAAAATAAATACCTATATTATCTTTAAAATTATTCTATTTATTTTTAAAAACTGGAGATCCGTATAAAATCCATGAAGAAGATTCAAAAAAAGAAATTAAAGGGAGAATAAAATTATTAATTTATTAATCTATTATATATGTTATATTTTATAAATATTCAATTGATGCATGTTTTAAAGCTTTAATTTCTTTCTTAATTTTGTTTCCTTTAGTTTTTGAGAATAATTTAAAAAACACTCCTTTCCAAATAAATCCATTAAACCATACATTAGATAAAAATTAAGGTAAATTTTCTAAAAAAATACTATTTTCTTCTTCCTAATAATTATTTTAAATAAAATTATATGTATAAAAAATAATATATTTAAATATATATATATATATTATTTTTTTTATATATATTATATTTATAATTATTATTTTTTAGTATACTTTTATTTATATATTTATCTTTTTAGGAGATTATTAATTTATATCTCTAATAAATTGTTTATAATCTTTTTATTCTTATTTATCATTTGATGCATTTATATTTAAATTTTATTAAGAGTTTTATCTGATTTTTAATCCTTAAGATTAACTATTGAATTAAAACATTAAAGGTTGCTCATTATATCCGAAATTTATATATGCTATGGAAAATATAAGCCATCTGAAATGTTCATGAATTTAAATAAATTTTTTATCAAAAATAGTTTCTTATATTATTTAATTATTTTTATTTAAATTATTTTTATCCTTTTTTTTAATTAACAAAATATTATTTTTATTTATATATGCAAATTCATTATATAATATTTTTTTATACTTTATAATATTAAGTTAGTTCTTCATACCAGCTTCTTTCTTTTAAATTAAGTATATTTTTACAAACTTAAGTCATTAAATCTTATTTAAAATAATCTTCATAATCTCTTTCTTATTATTTCTAACTCTGCTAATATTTCTCTAATATTTTTACCCAATCTTAAAAATTAGAAAAATAAGAATTTTAATATTATTGATTTTCTTAGTCTACCTAAGTAGTATCGTTTGTATATTTACTTTTTTGTTTACTAATTTCAATTTGATAAAGTCTTAATTCTTATTCATTTAAACTGTAATAAATTTATCTGTTTTTTCCATTTTATTTAAGTATTTACTTTTAAGCTTAGGAATTGGAAAATATATATATGTCATTTCTATTTAATATATTTTTTGTATTATTATGATATTATTCATATTCAGTATCCTAATTATTATTGTTTATTTATGGTTTTTACTTTTACTTTTCATTTTATTTGGTTTTTTAACTAGTTAATTAAATTTGTTAATCAGTATGTTAATATTATTAATTATTATTTTATATTTATTAGATATAATTTTATGTTTAATAAATATTATTTTATATTTATTAATTGTTTTTTATTTAATGGTGTTTTTAGTTTGAATTATTTATTATTTATTATGACATTTATTGATTCATTTCATTTTATATTTATTATAGATTTATTTAAGATTATAATAAACTAATTTATTTTTTAGTCTAATTTTTTTCTTGATTGATTAAACTGCTTTAAGCTTTTTATTAATATAATTAATTGTTTTCTTATATTGTTTATAATTTTTTTATTTATTAATATTTTTTTTTAAGAATTTTTTTTACTTTAATTTTCATTAAGTTGAGGCTAGGTTTGTTAAATGCATTCATATTAATATTTATGATTATTATTATTATTTATTTATGCTGTATTTTATTAAGATTAACTTATATTTCTTTGTTTCTCATCTTTCATTTTAAAATCATTATTTATATTAATTTTTTTTGATTTTCCTATAAAATGTTTTTCTTTATTCTATTTGAATTATTATATCTATCTTTTATTGGATTATTTTCTAATAAATTATTTTTTTAGTTATCACTTTTTATGTTTTATAACTAATTTTTAATATTTATTATATTGAAATATATCTTTAAGATTTAATATATATTTTTTGTTTATTTTGTAATTAATTTCTTTTATTTAATTATATATATATACTCTTTTACTCTTGAATTTTATTAAAATGCCTAATCTGTCTCTTGTTTTGTTTGTTATTCTTTTTATATTAATTGATTATTTTGTTGAGAATTTCTTTAGTCATTTTTTTCTTATTTTTAGGGTTTATGATAATATTTTGTTTGTTTTTATAATTATTTAGATCTCACACAAGCACCCATTTAAATATATATATTTAAAATTGTAATATTATTATTTTTTTATATATATTTAAAATTAAATAATATTTTTTTTTTAAAAAAAAAAATATAAAAGTTATGTTGAAATTTTATTTGTTTTTCAAATTTATGAAAAAAATATATCATTAATAATAAATATATTTAAAAATTATTATTAATATATAAAAGTTAGATTTTTTACAATTAATAATTCATATTTAAACATATATTTATTAATATTCATAATTCCCTATAATTTTAATATAATTTTGAAACTTTACTAAATAATTCAATAACAGAAATTACATTTTTTTTAATAATAAGATTTTAATATATTATTTATATTAACTAAATTAATCTAAATAAAATAAGCTATAAAAAAACAACAACAAAAGACGAAAACTTTAATTTAAAAAAAAAATAAGTTTAAATTAATAAATATATAAATATAATTTTTATGCAAAATAATAAAAAGCTAATTAATTTTCTCTTTATTAAAATAAAAATACATATTTATAAAAAAAATACAAAACTATTAAAAAAATAATGGGTAAAAAAGGATAACCGTCATATTAAAAATTAAAAGTAATACCAATCGTACATGGCAAAAGACCAGGATTCGAAGAAGATTCAAAAGCAACTAAAAAGAAGAAAGATATACACAAAGGAAAGAAATCATATTTAAATATAAACCCGTCATCAATAGCTTGTAAAGAAAAAAGACTTTAAGTATTAGCAAAGAAATAAAGAGAACAAAAGAAATTGAAAAAAAAAGATAGATAAGCAAGATAAGAAGAATATAAATAAACCGGAAAAGAAAAATTATAATATTTGACTACAGATGATAAAAAAGAAGTAAAATTTATAAAATAAAAAATAAAAAATCAAAATAAAGATTGATGAAAATTTCATATTTGATGATGATGATTTAGAATTATAAAATGAAGAAAATATAGACGAATTTTCAAGTTATTTTGAAAATGGATATCAACCGAAAATATTAATGACAACTTCTTAAAGACCTCATGGTGAATTATTCGATTTTTTAAAGGACATAAAGAATACATTCCCAAATTCTCATTATTATCCCAGAAAAGCTTTAAAAATAAAATAAATATGTGAAGAAGCCCCTTCTAAAGGTTATACCGATGTTATGATTTGGAGAGAACATAAAAGATAAGTAAATGAATTAATATTAATACATTTACCAAAGGGACCTACTGCGATATTTAAAGTTACTAGTGATAAATTAAATTATGAGATTTAAAATCATGGAAGACCAACAGATCATTATCCAGAATTAATTTTAAATAATTTTAATACGAATTTGGGAAGAAGAATTGGAAGATTTTTAGCTGCCCTTTTTCCGTAAAAACCTGAATTTAAAGCTAGGACTGTGGCTACTTTCCACAATTAGAGAGATTTTATCTTTTTTAGACATCATAGATATTAATTTACGGAAGAAGGAGAGAAAGTTGAATTGTAAGAAATTGGACCGAGATTTACTATGAAACTAAAAAAATTATAATTAGGTACTTTTGATTATGAGTTTGGGGAAGTAGAGTTTGAAGCTAAAGATAAAATGTATTAGTCAAGGAAAAAAATCTTTATTTGATTTATTTTTATTTTATTGTTTATTTTTGGTATATGTGGCTTAAAGTATATTTTTTAAGCTTAAAGTATATTTTTTAAGTTTTTATATTATAATTGTTTTTTTTAAAATTATTGTACTTTTCTTTTTTTTAAAATAAAATAAAATAAAATATAAATCAATTTTATGTAATCTTTTTAAAATAAATAATATTAATTTTAATTAAGAATTAAGAAAATATTTTTTTTCAAAAATTAGTTGGTTTATTATAGAAATTCAAATTTTTTATAGTTTTTTTTTTTTAATTTATTTATTATTATATTTCTTATCTATATATATATTTATGACTAATAGAATTTAAGATTATCTATTTTTATTAACAAAAAATTTACAATATTTTTTTTTTTTTGAAAAATATTAATTTTAAAAATAAATAAAAAAAAAAAACAACAACAACTAATAATATATAAAATAACTCTCCATTAAATAATAATAAAAAAAATGGAAAATATAAAACTGAATCATTCAGATTTATTTTTTTTCTTTTTTTTTTTCTTTTCAGGTTATTCTTGTTCGATTTCTTCTTCAAGTTCTTGAACTTTGACTTTAGATTTCTTTTTTAATTACTTATCTTTTTTGCTTTTCTTTTTTCCCAAATCATCGATATTTTCAACATAAAGGTTTTCATCTTTTAATTCTTAAAGTACTTGATTCATAACATCATCATTTTTTTTAGTTTATCCACCAGAAGTTAAAAATGTGAGTCTATCTTCAATTTGATCTTTCATTTTATCACCAAATTTATTAGTAGGCTATAAAAAAAATATTAAAATATTATATATATAAATATACCTATATTAAGAAATAATCTAATCTAGAAGCCAAAGAACATTTATTAGCTAAGTATCTAGAAATTTTTCCTTTATCTTTTCCATTAGCCTTTTGAATGAAGGAAGAATGATACAATAAACCATATTTAGGAGTATTAGCTTTTTTTTTAAGAGCCTAAAACAAAGCTTTTTCAGCTCCCAAAATTTAAATAGTAGAAGCTGGGTATTTAACCAAATTACTCAAACCACCAGAGTGAGCAATTAACTTGGCACCCAATTATTCGCCAATTAATCCAGTTAAGTTAGGAGCTACATTATCCATTCTGCTTTTTAAATATCCTTATATTCCTTTTCTAAATTCGATTAACTTGATAATTTTACCACTTAATTCATTAAGACATGTCTTTTTTTTATATATTTAAATAATTTTTTATTTTTTACGTTATCCATTTCTGATAAATCTTAACCCATAGAAGATTTAGATGAATCAACAACTTATTATGCAATATCTCCATCAATAACAATTTCTTCTATTTATGTAATATTAGCATCATTAGCATTAGATTTATGCTATAATAAAAAATATAAATATATATACAAATATAATATTTTTACCCCAATTAATTAAACTAAACGTGTATAAATTTCATTATCAGTAACAATTTTACTAAGTTCAGGGAAATGCCATCCGTACCATTCTCTTATTCTCATACAAAGAGTGTTAATGTCCTTATCTAGTTATTCAAGAACTGCAATGCAATTAATAATTGGTTTATCTTATCTTTTTACATCGAATTAGATTCTGTTTCTGCTCCAACTATGGGCTAAACCTAATTGGGCTTTTACTAAATCCTCTTCTTTGAAATCTTGTAATTTTTTTTTTTTTTTTAATTTTTTTTATAAATATAATTTACCTTCGTTTTTTAAAATTTATGTTAAATTAGCTCTTATTCCTCTAAATAATTCGAATATTACATCACTAGTAATACATTCATACTAGAGTTAATCAGTTACTTTTTAAGCTAGTTTCAAGTCCATAACTGCGAGTTAAACTTTATTTTTTTTCTTGGTTTTAGGCACATTTTCTTCAATAAAAGTTTTAAGTTCTTCAGTTAATTCTCCGAGACCAATATTTTAAGCATTATTTCTGGCAGTTTCGGCATTTGGAAATGCATAAAATGCCTTTAATTTTTAATTAAATTTATTTTTATGTATTTTTTTTTTTATATAAATTATTTTTTACTTTTAATCTGCACATTTAATTAAATGAAGCAAGATTTTATATTTGCTTTTAGACTTGTTTCAATTTAGCTGAAGCTTCATCAAATTCTTTGACTTCAAATAATGAAAATCCTATGGCACTTTCGTTTATTAAATATAATACCATGTTTATTTTTTTTTATTTTTTTATTTTATTTTAATTTTATATCTATATTTATTTTGTTTTTTTTTTTTTTATTTACTTGATTATTTTATTTATTGATCATTTATTTGTTTTCTATTTAATTTAGCTTTTAAATAAGAATTATTTTTTTAGACTTTATTAATTTTATAAATACTATATAAAATATCATATATATATTTTTTTCTTTATAAAATATTTAATTAAATATATAAATACGATATACGTATATAATATAAATATTTATTATATTTTTATAATATTAAATTCTTAATTTCTACAAACGAACAAAAATGGAATAAAAAAATTAATATTATGATTTTGATGATAACATATAATTTATAAATTAAATAGATAAAGCATTAGAATAAAGCTAAAAATTATCTTAATTAATATTTTAGGAATCCAAAATAAAATAGCAAAATATATTGGATAATAGTATTTAAATAAAAGAAATAAGCTATGAGTTTTTCGATGAAGAATAAAAAAGAAAATTTAATATTCTTGGTGACTATTTTAAACAAAAAATAGCTTAATGTAATAAAAAAGTCTAAAAAACATAAGATATTGTGTAAAGCGAATCAAAAGAAAAAAGTGAAAATATATAAAAATAAAATATGCAGTAAAAAAATAATTTGAATTTCTAACAATTTAATTCAGAATAAAATAGATAATAAATAAATAATCTTTAAACTGGTAGTAAATAATACTAAGAAATTTTCAAACAATAATAAAATAACTTCCTTGACGATTGTTTATCTGAAGAATAGAAATAAACTAATACTTAATAAGAATATTAATAATACTAATATCATACACCAAAATAAGTTTAATAAATATAAATATAATAAATAGATGATAAATAATTATTAGATTAAATAAAAAATTAATATATAAAATATAAAGATAATAAAAATAATTAATTATAATAATAATAATTATTAAAATCATAAGATAGTAAAGAAAGATTATAAAAATAAATTAAAAATTATTTTAATGATAATTTTAATTAACAATAAAAAAAATGTTAATAAATTATTATTAATAATAATATCAATAACAAAAATATTTCGTATTAAATTATATAAAAAAGAAGAAAAGATAATAACTATGTGCCTAAATCAAGTTTTCATGAAGTAAACAGGTTAAACTATTGTAAATAATAATAAATAAATCCTCCTTAAATATAATGTTTGAAATATAAGTAGAATATTGTTTAATTTATTAATATTAAATTTTATAACTCAAACAATTTTTTTCAAATTAATATTTTATTTTATTTTTTTAAAAAAAATTAGTATTATACAAAATAATTTTAAAGCGATTAATTAAGTAGTTTTAATAAAGCATATTATTTTAATTATTATATTTATATATAAATTAGAATAATATTTAAAAAAAATTTAAAACCAATAATATTAAGCTTATACTATAAATAATTAAGATAAATAAGTTTTATTTTAATTATTAGTAAATAGTAAATAGTCAACTCCTACCAGATATTATTCATAACATATTGATTAAAATATAAATTAAAATATTAAGTAAAATATTATATTATTTATACATAAAATATATAAAAAGGCAAAATTTATAGATTAATTATCCGATTAATTAGGTTTATTTTTTTATTTATACATATGATTTGCTAAAAAATAATAAAACTTTTTAAATATATCAAAAAAAGTAAATAAATCATAGATCCATTTTGTATAATTAAAGACAGAATAAAGATATCCAAAATTATTAAATATTAAATTGAATTAAAAAATTATATTATATAATATTAATTATTTAATGAAATAAATAATTAGAAAAATATTTAATAAAAATATTACTATGTTTATTATAAATAATTTGTTTTTTAATATAAAAGTTAAGTCAAATAAATAATAATATTTTCTATAAAAAATTTGTTAATTTTTTTTTAAAAAATACTAATATTTTATATTATTTATATTAATAAAAATATATTTAATTTATTTATATATATCGAATTTATATTATTAATATAATTTTATTTTTATAAAATATTAATTTAATTATCATATATTTTAATAGTATTAATTTATTTATTTTTTAGAGACGAAAATAAATAATTAAATGAATATAATATACATTAAATTAATTTTTACATAATAATTTTATAAAATATATAAATATATACCTGAATTTCTATTTTTTTAAAAGATAAAATTTTTTAACTTTATATTAATTTAAAATAATTTTTTATTAAATAAAATAATTATCATATTAAAATTAGTAAATAAAATAAAAATATACTATAAAACTATTTTTTATTAATAATATTAAAAAAAAAATATTTAAAACAATTTTATTTAATCAAAGAAATCACAAATAAAATAAAATTAAATATTATTAAATCAGTGTTTGTTTTATTTTTTAATATATGATAATTTATTATTTTTAACTTATAATAAATTTTAAAAATAAAGAAATAGAGTTTATATCATTAATAAAATATAAAATTATACTGCATAGATATTCTAAATAAAACTTAAAAGTTCAAATAAATTAAAAATTTTTGATAAAAACATATTAAATATAAAGTAATTAAATTAAGTTTCAAAAAAAAAAAAATATTAAAATTTATTTAGTTTTAAAAGAGAAAAAGTTTTAAATATTTCTATTTTATAATATTATATATATGATAATATATGTGATTAAAATAATAAATGAAATTCCTAATATTCACATATACCATTTATGAGATTTAATTTATTAAATAGTGAATCTTTATTCACTTTTCGGATGTACCATATGAATAAATAAATCAGTAAAGTTTAAATCAAAACTTTTTTAAAACTTCATTTTGAGTATTTTTAACTTTTATTTCCAGAACAATTCCTAATTACTTTCAAATAAAATATACTATTCATTATTTAGAAATGGAAATTCCTTAGTATAAAGAAAATACAGTATTATCCCAGCAGAATAAATATCCTATTATACAGGAGAATAAGGAAGCCTTTTTTTATTTCAGGTAAAGAATATTAAGGACTTATTTAAATATTATAGTTTTCACTTTTATCATTTGAATTTTAGAATTTAATACTATAACTAAAGTCTCCTAATGTTATATTCCTTTTTTCTTTTATGTATATATTTTCTAATCTTAAAGCTAAATGGGCTATATTAATTTCATGAATGGAATTTATAGCTTCTATTATAAAATGAAAAATTAGCTTTATTTATACATCTTCTAATATATTATTATTTTCAACAAAATTTAATAGACTTACACCTTTGAAATATTTCATTATTAATATGTGAAAGTCATTATTATTAGAATTTATTTAGCTGTTTATAAGTTATATACAATATGGATTTCCTTCTAAGAGTTTTAGATACTTAATTTCATTTATGTAATTTTGAGTTTTTTCATTATATATTGTTTTTAGTAAACATTTCTTTTAGGTTGTTTTACAATAAACTAAAAAGAGTTCTGAGTATTCAGATTATCCAAGTTTTCGTATTTTTGCGAATTTATTTAGAGAGATTACATTTTCTTATTATTAGTTTATGGCGTTATTTTAGTCTTGATTTTCATTTTTTTGGTTGTTTGTGAATTTTAAGATGTTCATAAATATTTTTTTTATTTTTATATTTTTTTTATCTTTATATATAAATTTATTTATTATTTTGTAATTATTTATTGTTGTATATTACATTTATAAATATTTATTTTTATTTTATACAATTAATTTTTATATATTTTTAAGAAAAATATGATTTTTAATTGTTTTTTATTTTAATTTTAAAAGTTAAATATATATAAACTTCAAATATAAAATATAGTATTTAATTGTTTAATTTTTAAAAATTTTAAAAAATTCTTATCGTACATAAAAATTAATAAGACAATTTTAAAAAAAATAAATTTAAAAATTAATTTTATTTAAATTATTATAAAAATTTTTATTTTAATACATATATATAATAATTAATAATAATTAAAGATTTACAATTAATTATTTTTAAATTTTAATATTAGTGATAATAAATAACAAAAAAATTAATATTATTTTATTATAAATATATTAATCTATTATAATTTTAAAAAATCCTTAAGCTTTTATTAATTAAAAAAGTCTTATATAAAAATAAAAGAAAATATAATTTTTATTATTAATTAATAAAAAATAAAGTTAAATAAAATTAAATAAAAATATTAGAAAAATAATTGTAATAAATTTTATATAAATAAATAATTATTTTTTTTAATATAAAATAATAATATACAAAAAAAATATATATTTTATATATTATTCAATTTATTAAAGCAGCAATTTCCTATCTTACAGCAGACTTTATTTTTTCTTAAATATCTACATTCTATTTCACAATATATATATAAAAAAAAGTTATTTTTAAATTTTATAATTAAATTAACTTATTAATCGACATGTTATTTAATTTTAATTAATTAATTTTTCAATTTCTAAACTTAATAATTAACTTAATCAAACAATTTGTATGTACATGAGTCTATTATATACATATATATAAATAAATATATATATAAATATATATATATATATTTATTACATTTAATTTATATATTTTATATATTATAATTTTTTTATATTATATATTTTTTTATTTTTAATTATTTTATTTACTATTATTTAAATTTTCTAAATCTAATTTATAAATATTATTTATATTATTTTATATTGTCTATTTATTAATTTTTCTATTTTATTATTTAACAAATGCTGTCTCCAATTTTCTTAACTTATTTTTATTTATAAAATTGTTTAAATTTTTTTTTTAAAAATACATCATTAAAACTTTCTTAAATATTTTTTGTTTTATTATCTTAATCTATATTACTATCTTAATTTTAATCTACACTTACTTTTAATATTTTTTATTATATAACTTTTATCAAATATAAAAAATACATAATTCTTGAGATATTGTATGTCCTAAAACAAATACTTTATCCCTATGTGTAATTTTTGTCTTATTTTTTTAATTTTTATACATTATTTTTTTATAAAATATACATTTTCTTTTGGATTAGTATACGTATAAGCAAAAGAATTATCTAAACTTCCAGCTAATCTATATAATCCGATAGCCACCAAACATTTCTCTGTTGCCAAGTAATGAAACAATTAACCAAAAGTTTTGTTAAAATAATCTTCAGGAACAGGTATTTACCATAAATTGGATTAATGTAAATCCGCATGATCACAAATAGCTCTAATAACCGCTGAAGAAGATTTATCTCCAGTCAAAATTTACTAAAGTATAGTTAAAATATGAGGATTATAATATGTTTAACACGTAAGAGTATCAATAATAGGTGAAACATATATTTATCCAGCAGCATATAGAGGAATAAGTTCTGTTTTTAACTAACTATTTGAATGATTAATCAATGATTTTTTTTGGACGAAAATTGCGTTAGAAGCATAAACCATCTCAATCATTATTTATACATTTTAATTAATCTTTTATATAGCCTTGAATATAAAAATACTTTCAGAATCAATCATTTCATCTATTTCTTTATTTAATTTATTTACTTCTTTACTAAATATTACAGCTTTATCTGCAAAATTTATATTTGCTCTCATTAAATCTTCATGTTTTAACGGAGAACCCTTTTTTTTTAATATATATTTTTTTTATTTTTTTTATTATTTTTATTTTTATTTTTATTTTTTTTTACTTTTATAAATATTATTTTAGGGAACCTATTTATATCATTCCATATTTTAGTTGGCTATTCTTCTGATAATATAACTATATATTAATATTCTTTTAAATATTTAGCTCTTAATGGTAATATAAAATAATAAATAGACGGATGGATTCCACATAAGACTATATGATTTGTAACTTTAGTAGAATCTTTAATACTTATTAAAGTAACATTAATTAATTATACAGAATCTTATAATAATACATAATCACTTTCTGTAGAATCAATATCTTCATCAAATAATTACTTTATATTTTATATAATAAATATAATAAATTCATATAAAAATTACATTATTTTTATCATCAATATCAAAATTAATTAATTTAGATACATCAATTTAATTATTATTTTAATTTTTTTTTTTTTCTTCTGTTTCTAATTATGCATTTGATTATAATATAAAATTTCTTCATGTTACATCCCATAAGTAGCAACTTAATCTGCTACTTTCTTATCTTCACAAATAATATATACTTTGACATTATTTTCTAGAGTATTAGGAATAACATAATGTCCAGGATTTAATCTAATGATAGTTTATCCTCCTACATCTAATTCTATACCAAATAAAATACCATTATATTCAGTATAGATAGTAGCAGCTATTTCAGTAAATGTTTTTCCTTCAAACTTTTTTTTTTTTATATTTTTTATATTTTTTTTTAAAAAAAAAAATGCTTTAAATGATAAATCTGTTCTGTATATTTCATGACCCATTCCTCTCATATATTCTTTTAACCATTCTTCTTCTATATATTAATCATCTATTTCACCTGCACTAGATATAAGATTTCCTAATAGACTAATAATTCCAGGACAAAAACAAGATTTGGCTAACTATATATTAATTTATAAATATATTTTTAAAAATATATGTACAAGATTCATTTTAAATTCTTCTACAACAATTAACAAATCGTTTGATTTATTTTATAAAGCCGAATAATAATGTGTTTTGCTTTCTGGTTTAATAAGTTATATACAAAGTCTAATATTATTATCCCCATTAGTTGAATGATGGACAAATTTCTTAATAGCCAACGCAGTAAGCACATTTTTATGATCTGCAGAATGAGAATCTGTTATATATTTGTCAGTTAATAATACACAAGCTTTTGAAGTATGAACTGAAGTCCTTTTTAAATCTCTTTCAAGCATTGGATTTCCTTATATATAATGTAAAAAGACTTCATATTGAGGATTATGTAAGTATTTTTCCATTTCTTAAGATGGAGGTTTATGTTATAGAATAATAGCATGCTTATCCTATCCACCATGGTCTGGATGAAATAATTCCTTGCAAAAAAATTTCAGGGCAGATACTTCTATATGACCACAAACTAAAATGTGAGGAGTATCAGGATTTGATTAATATTTGAATCTAGCATATTTACTTTGCATTTCTATATAAATATATATATATATGTGTATATGGATGTATATATAAATTTATAAATTTATATATATATATATATATATATTATATATATTTTAATTTTTTTTTATTATATATATATTTTACACATTAAGTTAATTAATTCATTAGTTTATTTAGGAATTAAAACTATTAAAATTACAATCATTATAATTACAATAATTCTTCCTTCTTCAGACTTCGGAGTTATGTCTCCATAGCCTACTGTTGCTGTAGTTACTACTACAAAATATATCATTTCATGAAAAGTAGTTTATTTATTAGGAAACTCATACCCAACTAATTACTAACACTAATTATTTATATCATCTTAATATTTTTATTTCCTATCTGCAGTTTCAAATATTTATAAAAGACCTGCACTTACTATTATAAGTGTAAATAGTGTAGTAAGAATAACAAAAAATTGATTTGAAACGCCCGAAAATTCAGAATCTGCGCTTTTATAATATTTTCCAATCACATTAACAACTCTCAAAAACCTAATAACACGAGTCACATCTATTAATTTTGACGTAAAATCATCCTCGCTGTAACTATTAATTACAAAAATAGGAGCTATACATATTATATCAACTATCGAAGATGCTTTTATTAGAAAATTTATCGAATGAGGGGCTGAAAATAATTTTACACTAAATTCAATTATATATAAAATCAATATTACAAAATCTAAAGAACGCAACCAATAGAAACTATAATCCAAATATGTATGTAGAATATATAAGGCTGATGATATGAAACTTATTGTGGCACTTAAATAATCTATTATTCGACCAGATTGCCCATTTAACAACTTTTCAATAGTTAATCGTAAATGATTTGTGCTAGAGGTTAATTCCTCTTCTTCTTCTTCATCTTGATTGATTTGAGATTAATTCTTTTTTTTTTTGTATTTTTATTTTTATATGTATTTTTTTTTATTATTTTATACTTTTTTATAACTTTCGTCAGGCATAGGATATATAATATTTTTTCTTTTTGAAATTTGCATTTTTTATTTTTTTTTAGTTTTTGTGTCGGCTTTTTTGATATATATTTTTATTTTAGAATGGATGAAAAAAATATATATATATTTATCTATTTTTTTTTAAAAAAAAATAATAGTATATATGTTATTATAAAAAATTAAATATTTTCATAAAAAGATTTATATAAATATATTTTTTTAAAAAAAAATATTATAAAAAAAAAAGAATATAAATTTCTAAAAATCATTTAATTTATATTAAAAAAAAAAATTAAATATCGAATAAATGGTTTCAGAAAATTAATTATAGAAACTAACAACAATATAATAAGTTGGATGTTTAACATAATATTAAGAATATAAAAAATGTATTAATATGGAACAAGAAATTAAGAATATATAATATTATTATTAAAAATGCAAAGTTAACTTATTATTTTTCATATTAATTAAAATAAAATTTTAAAATTATTATAGGATTAAAAGAATAACTTTGAAAATTGTATTTATTAAGGAAAAATATAAATAGCTATTAATTATGTACATAATTAATAAAATCTCATTTAAAAAGAAATTTGACTTATAATTCAATCTTTTTTATTTATATAAATCATTTCATAAATTTTAATATTTATCTGATTTTTTTTTAATAATAAAATATGATTAAATTAATATTATATGTATATTGGCTTTTGATTCTATATTATATTTGTATAATTTTTATAAAATATAATAATATTATTAAAAAGTTATTAAACTATAAATTTTTTATTATTTTTTAATTTGTAAATCTTATTTGAAATTATTATAATTCCTTTGAGTATATTTTTCAATTATAAAATAAGATAAATTTTTTGTTAAAATAAATATAACTAAAAGTTAATTGAAATATATTATATTAAAAAAAAACAAAAACAAAAACATAAGATTATTATAATTTATTAAATTAATTTAATTTCGTAACAAAATCAAAATATAATATTTTTTTTTTTTGAATAAAAAAATTATATTTAGAATAATTTGGTTATTTTTTTTGCAAATTTTTATATAATTTGATTATATTTTAAAATTATCTTATATATATATATAATATACTCTTATTTAATCAATTTCAATAATTTAAAATTAAGATTTATTATTTTTTCAAAACTATATTGGGTATATTATAATTCATTTTACAGTCTTAACATTTTATAAAATTATAAATAATTAGAAATACTATTTTTTTTTATTCAATATTACTTTAAATAAAATAAAATTTATATTTAAATACTAATAAACATAAATTTAAATAAAATATAAATTTCAAATATTTAATATTTATATAAAAAAGAAACATCATTTTATTATATATGTTTATTAAAATTTTATTTTTGATCACAGATTTTTTTATATATTCTGTAATTGTTTTTAAAAACTCAGTCAAAAAAATGATATCAAAAAATCAATTTTTATTGCCTATTTTTTCTTCTAGATTTATATATTATACTAAAAAAAAGAAATAATTTAAAAAAGTAATGTATATAATTTTAATATCAAAAAATAAAAAAATCTTATAAAAAATATGATTTAAAATTACAAAAATATTTTTTTCTACAAAAATTAAATAAAAAACTATTTATTTTTTCATATAAAAAAATAAAATATAAATAATTTTTATTTCAAAAATAATTATTAGTAGCAAACGTATCATAAACTGTTTTATTTAAATTCGACTAAACAATTTCCGAAAGTTTTACATATTCTTATCTCAGTCTTTAATTTTCTGTATGAGAATTCCTTAAAGTTCTTTCCAATTCTTAAATATGTACCATTTAATTATCTTTTTCAACATCCCAGTTTTATTTTTCCTGTCTTTATTCATTAATTAATTTTTCTAATTATTATCTATTGTATTCTTTTTGTTTTCTATTTACTCATTAAGTAGATTAATTTCTTTTTAAATTTTTTCAATAATAGTGTCTTTAATTCTAAATCATTCTTAAGTTTTTCTGCTAAAATTTTAAATTCATTATTCTTTTAGTTAAATTCTTAATTTTGTCCTTTTAAATCTTATAATTCTTCCTGTAAAGCTCTTAATTCTACAGATGCTTTAATATCTCTTTCTTCATATTCTCTTTTTTTTAATGAAAAAAATTAAAATATAAATTTTATTACTTAGCAAGTTCTTAATTTCTTTTAATTTAATAATCTTTACCATTTTCAATAGCTTTTATTTTAGATTCTAATGTATTTAGATTTGATATATATTTATTATTTTCATTTTCCTCAACTCTTTAGGCTAAATCAATCAATTCTTCATCATGTTTTACTTATAAATCTAATTTTTTCTCCTAAACACGTTTTAATTCTAATTCCAATTCCTATCCTTCACTTTCTACTATTCTTACTCTTTCTTCTAATTATTTACATCTACCTTCCCAATCTCTAACTAATTCCTTTATTTATAGTAATAATAAAAAAAAATAAAAACAACGAAAAAAAATACTCTTATCCTAAAATTGTTTTCCTGAATAATTTTATCTAAATTATTGGCATGCTTTTTTTACATTTCATGAATTAAAAAATCATTACTTCTTAGTCTTTCTTCATGTGTTTTAATGTATTCAATATTATTTTTTTCTATAATAATAAATTCCTCTCTAAGTCTTTCAATATCAAATTTAAGCATTCGGTTTTAATTATTTAAATCTGCACATTTATTTTCAAATTCTTAAATAGTTCTTAAATCGTTTCTATCTTTTCTCTATAACTCTTCTAATTCAGCTTCTAGTCTTTATTTTATTTAAATTGTATGGGCCCTTTCTTTTTCTAAAACATTCTCTAAATGACTTAACATAGGTACTGTTTCTCTTTCTTAATTAGGAACTGTATTTTAAAAAATAAAATTATATATTTTATAATTAATTTTTTTTATTTACTTTAATAATTTAACTAAGATTATTATTAAAATTAAGAATTTCCATTTTATATATTTGATTATTATTAAGAAGCCAATGCAAATATTCTATCTCTAGGAATGGGGTTTCTTCTGAGATTTTCTTATACGATTTTTTCTATTGCTTCTTGCGTTTCTTCATTAATATTATTTCCTCCTAAATCAATGTATAGTAAAGTTTAATTATTAATAAGAGCATTTTTTAACATTTGGGCACCTTTGGTACCTATTTTGTTCCATCTAAGGTCTAAAGAGAGAATAATCTTGTTATTTCTTAATGAATTACATATAAGTTCTATTTAATCACCACTAATTTTATTCTAAGCAATGGATATATGTTATATAGATTTACTAGACATTATAAAAGTTGATAAAGCTTCTAATCCTTTATTATCAGAAGCTATATTGTTCCATTCCATACACAATACTTTTAGGTTATTATTATGCTTTAAAACATCGAGAATTTCAACAAAACCATCAGCAGTTATATTATTGCCTTTTAATTCTATTTAGCTTATTTGGGGATTTTGTTATAAAAATTTTGATAATTGACATGCGCCATCATCACTTATGTATTAATCGGTTAAATTTATCTTTGTTTGACCCCTTAAACTTTCGAATAATTATGAAAGTTGGTTTGTTACTTAACGCATTTTCTTAATATTTTTTTTTTAATATTTTTTTTTTTTAAAATATATTTATATTTTTTAAAAATAAATTATTTAAAAATAATTTTTTGTTTTAAATTGAAACTTTTTTTTTATATTTTTCCGAAATAATATTTATTAAGTATTTTTATAGATTTTAAATAATATTATATATATATATAAAATTAAGTATATGCTATACTTTATTAAATTATATAAAAAGTTAATTTTTATTTAAATTCTCATATATAACATATAAATTAGTTTAAAAAGTCATTTTATTATTAGTAAAAAGTATAAAAATATTATAACAATTTTTTTTTTTCTATAAACATTTAATTCAAATTCAATGTTAAAATTAATTATTAACTAAATTTAATTATTAATTTCCAAACTTTTATTTTCTAAATTATTATTAAAAAAACTAAATACCTAATAAACAAATCAAACATTAAAAGTTCTATTTAGTAATAACAACATCTTCCGCATTAACAAACTAATCAATATTTTATGAATAATTAGTATTTAAAGAAGACTTCGAATAAACGAAAATTTACTATTTAGGTTAAATCTACTACTCATTTTCAATAACATCATTAATTATATCCAAAGTGTTTTTCAGGAATAAAAAAGGGTCATTTTCGTAATTAATTTTAATCTGATCTAAAATAACCAAAAGGCATTTTTCTTAATTTTATTTTATTTATAATTTCTCAAGAACACCTTCTTTTACTAAATCACTCAAAATATTATTATAATATTCAATTACGTTGTATTCTTCGAGTAAAATTTCCATGAAATACATAAGAATTCTTTTTATTTATTTTATTTCTATAATTTATTTCTCCTATATTATTTGCCAGATTTCATAAAGGTTTTTAGTTTTTATTTTTCCGAATTATTATTAAATATCAATTTATAAAATTAATAAATTTATTAATTATTTAAAATTTCCTTTCTCAAATATAGGTATACACGTATCTATATAAGCCTATGATTATTTATATTTTTATAAATTAAAATATTCAAATGCCAGCTTATTACATATATCGCCATATTTTAAATTAGGGCCATATTTTCCAATTATTTTTAAACTTTTTTCATAATATAAAATTGCTTAATCTATATTATTTTATTATTTTAAAATGTTTGCTAATTACAAACAAACTTTTTTTTAAAAAAAAATATAAAATAAACACTGTATTTTTTTTAAAAAATATATGTATAATAGTTTTACATTTAAAAACCTTTCTATGCTTTTATCCTGCACATTTAATAAACAAATTTAAATTAACTTTCAAAAGAAAAATTTATTCATCTAGAAGTTATTTTTCTTTATAATAATCTGCCATAATAAGTAATAATTATGAATGTATTGGATGAAAATATCCAAGATTAAAATAAATAAATTATTCAATTTTTTGATATAATTAAATTAAATGTTTATTTTATTTACTTTTTATATAGCATTAAATTAACAAAAGATAAGGTTTTATTAAAAGAGTATTTGGTATATTCTATTAATTAAAATAAAATCATATATAAATATATATAATTATATATATATAAAATTATAAATAAATAAAAATTAAAATATAAGTATATTTAAAAATAATTATATAATTTTATATAGTCATATATAAAAATATTTATAAATAATATAGATATATAAAAAAATAAATTTAGATTTATAAATAAATATATATAAATAATTAGTAATATATAAATTATATATATATATATATATTTATTTTCAATTACAGAATATATTTATATTGCTTATTTAAGATAATTAGAAGCCTCTAAGAAATCATTTAAAAGGAAATGTGTCTATGCAATTTCAAATAAAATCAAAAAAATTTCAAGTTCATCGCTTTAGACAGCTTTTGCAAGAGAAAGTTTTATAAGAAGAGAATTGAGTTAATTTTTAAGATTATCTTTTTTTTTAAAAGAAAGCATTTTTATAGGAATATCTTTAAGATCATAAATTTTACTTTTTAATTTAAAAATTAATTTATTTTTTTAATAAGAAAAAATCTAACAGTTTTCGTTATTATTATCTTCTTTATTATAATAAAATAAATCTATAATATTATTTAATTTATTTTTATTTTATTATCTATTTTCCTCATCCTCAGATTTTATATATGAAAAAGGATCAAATTATTATTATTATTAATTTTATTTATCATTTGTAAATATATTAATATCAAATTCTATTGTAAAATCACAATGGAAGCATATTGAATTTATTAAACCTCCTTTTTCTAATTAGTTTATTTCTATATATTCATGGTAATTGAAATTATTTTTTATTTATTAATTTATTATATCCCATATTTTTTTTTAATCTGGTGTATTATTTTCAAATAGAATATTTAAAATTTCAATTATTATTTACTTTTGCTCTTCTTTTGCCTTATTTTCCTATAAATTATCCTATACCTGACTTTATTATATTATTTAAGCAAATTTTTATTCTGTAATTTATTATCCTTTTTCAAATATGTTATTACTAATTAAAATAAAAATTAAAATAAAAAAAATATAAATAATAATTAACGTTTATCTTTTTCGATTATTTTTAACTGTTTTTATTTCTAAAATAATTCTTGCGAGATGATACCTGATGATTTTTTTCAAAGTTCTAGCCACCATTTCTTATTTAAGGAAGTTTTTTACATATATAACTTTACATTATTTACAAACAACTCCAATATATTTGACATTAAGTCCATAAGAATGAAAAATCTAACTAACCTAATAGCTTTCAAAAATAATAATTTTAAATCTTTCAAACTTTTCAATAAGTTTATTAATCACATTATTTTCTAAAAGACCAATCATTTTTGAAATCTGACCTTAATCTTCATCAGTACATAAAACTCCTTTCTAAATCCATGTACAGCAATCTGGATTGACTTAATAATTTAACGAAATAAGTAATTCTGGTCTAATTCTTTTCTAAAAATTAGCATTAAAAGGCAAAATTTCTTAAACATTTTCCAAATAAAGTTCTTCTTTATCTTTTTCATTATTAACATAAAATACTTATGTATCGAATTCCTTTAACATTTCCATAGTCTCCTATTCTCCATTACCTTTATGTACTTCTACAAAATAAGGCAGAAAACACTCTATGGAATCATTAATATTTTCTAAGGAATAAAAATGATTTTTTAAATTTAATTTCTAACCTAATTACTACAAATACCCTTTAATTTCTTTTTTTATTTATACTCTTTAACTTCCCCTTCCTATATTAGAGGTCCATGTACTAGATTTTATTCATAAGAAGGCTTCGCATATATTAAAATTTTAAACCCTTTATACTTTATATAAGCACATAGAGGTACTCTTAAAGGGAATTTATCGTCAGTTAATTTTATATTGATTATTTTATTGTTTATAGTATTCATAGATTCATATTTATTTCCTAAACCTGGATTTTTTTCAATATAAAGACCTTCCTAAGAAATTTCTATTTAGGATATTTTGGCTATCATATTATAATCTTATAAATAAAAAAATGCATTTTCTTCATTTTTATTAGAAATATAATTCATACTAAAACTTTATGGACTTATATTTTATTAATTATTATTTAAATTAGTACTATTATTATTTTATATTGGAGAAATTGCTAAGTTTTCTTATTAAACTTAAATTTATGAGTTTTATTTTTTTGTCTTTTTTATCTTTTTTAAAGGGTGTTTTCATGTTCTATTTATTCTTTTAATTATTTCCAATCGTATAATAGTTTATATTTTTTCAAATATTAAGTTTATATTTGATCTTCAATAAGCTCTTTTGCTGCTTAAATTGCCTTTTCACGAAAAGAGCCTATATAAAGGAATAATTTAATACCTTCATTTAAATATTCAGTTTTATTTTTTGATTTAGTATTTAGATCTATAAAATAATTATAACGAAATTCATGACTATTTTCAATTTTTTCCTTTTTTTACGAATTTCGGATTGCTTATTGTTAATTTGATCTATTATGAGATTTGAAACGAGTATTTTTTTCATTAATTGCTAGTTTTCTTATTATTATTATTCTTTTTATTTGCTTTATTGGTTATTTTACTAAAGAGATAATAGTTTTTTTTTTGTTTCTTCTTGAAATTCAGTGTTTTGATCATCTAACTATGATATGGAATTCATATTTATTAATAAGGCTTAATTCATGTATTTAACAGAGATATTAATAAATATAAAATTATAAATAATTTTTAATTATAGTAATATTCAATTAAATATATATGTTTATAATATAATAATTAAAATAAATGTAAAATATATTCTTTTTGAATATATAATATTTTTCGTTTGTAAAATTTCTATATAATAAAAATAAAAAAATTAGATTAATAAATATATATATATATCTTATATATATTTTATTTAAATTATATATATTTTTATATTATATATATAAAACAAATATTTTAATTAAATAAAAAATATATGATATTAAATATAATTTTTATCTTAAAATATGAATTAAATAATAATATATTATATTTGTAAAGTTTATTTAATTAATAAATTTTAAATTTGAAAAATAAAAACAAGAAAAAGTAATATATAAATTAATTATATTTCTAAAGAAAAAAAAAAAAATTTTTTAATAAAAATAAAATAAAAAATATCCCCCCCCTCCCCCCCCCAATAAAAAAAATAAAAATATATATATATATATTCCAAAAAAAATAAAAAATAAAAATGTCTTTAACATAATAACTTAACCAAATTAATATATAAGAATAACTTCAAAAAAAATTTTGTGATTTAAACATATCATTATTAGTAATAAAAAAAAAAAAAAAAATTAACTTGAACAAAAAATAAGGGACAAAATGTAAAAGTGAAACTTTTAAACTCAAAAACATCAAACGGAATTTTTTATACAATTAATCCATAAAACTACAGTATTATATTGAAAAATTACCATTGTGAGGATTATAATTTACCCACAAAAATATTAAAAAAGGATGATTTTGCATATATATTAGCTGAAAATGTTCCTTGTCCACCTTATATAACAGATAAAATATAAAAAAAACATAAGACAGACAGCGAAATTTCCCAAAGTATTGAAAACAATGACAGGAAATTTTAAAAAATAGATTTTTTGGAATACGATTATTAAATTTTGGAAGAAAAAGGTAACCAAACAACCGAAAAATTTGATTAATTTAAAGTCAATGAGCTCAAATATGGAATAAAAGATACATATAGAGACGAATATTATACTACTGGATTAGATTTGTCTAATTTTAACAAAGAATAAATTTAGAAGGCAGAATAATTAGAAAAAGAAATAAAAAATGAAACTATTGTGGGATAAAATAAACATGTTTTGGAAGATAGAGGACTTAAAAATGAGGAAGAATTAGATGAAGAGGCTGAATATTCAGCTGTTTTGGGTATTTATATATATTTTTTTTTATATTTTTTTTTATTTTATTAGGATCAGGAAGATATTAGGGAAATTAAATTAAATTTAAAAATGAAAAACCTGTATTTAATAATAATAATAAAAAAAATGATAATAATATAGAGAAAAAAAAAATGTAAAAACAGACGAAAAAAAAGGAGAAAAATGTGAAAAAAAGTAACAATAAAAAGATGAAAAAAAAGAGCAATAAAAAGATGAAAAAAAGAACAATAAAAAGATGAAAAAAAGATGAAAAAATAATGAAAAAATAATGAAAAAACTAAGAAAAAATATAGAAAAAAAAGAAGAGTAATATGTCGAAAAATAGTTGACTAATATTTAGGAAAAACAACATCTTTAAAAAATCGAGGAAGATTAAAACAAATAAAACATTTAAAATTTCATCAAAGATAATAATAATATTGATGAAAATAATCAAAACATTAATGAAAATAATAATAATTTAAATAATGAAGTAAATAAACCAAAAAAAAATTATAATATAAATCTTCGGCTTTTCAAAATCATGAGTAAGATTAATAGTAAAAATAACATTAATAATAGTCTTAATTATTAAAACAAGAATAAAATTAATAAGAAACTTATAACAATTAAATTAAATAATAAGGAACTATTCCTTAATAAAGTATTAATAAATAGTTTATTCCTTAACCTTAGATATTTATACCCTTTAATCCCTAAATTAATATTACTCAGGGTATAAATAATTATATTGTCCCGAATGTTACTTCTTTTGGGATGGGTAATCATACAAATTAATATATTAAATAAAATTTTACTGTTTAAAATAATTTTGTTAACTATCCACCGCCACCTCCAGGATAATAATTTTAAAATTAATTATAAAAAGAAACTGCTCCTGTATCTTAATTATAAGAAGTAAACGATTCAGGTTAAAATAATTAAAAGTAAGAAACAAATAAGAAACCATAAAAATAATTAAAATTAAGTGTAAATATATATATAAATAAATAATTTTATTTATATTTTAAAATTACTATAATATCAATATTTTTTTCTAGAAAGAATTTAAAGGTTTCAATTGAAATTGTAATATTATTATTTTAAGATTATATATTTTATTATTATTAAATATTTTATTTTTTTTATTAAAAATATTTATATATAAAATTAATTTTTAATTTTAAATAGTATTCAAATTTATCTAATTCAATCAAAAAAATATCATTAAATATATTAATAATTTTATTTTTTTAAAAAATCTTATCTTATTATCTTATATTTTAAAAGAATAAAATTATTAAAAAATTTAACAAACATAAAAAAATTTAAGTATAAAATCTTTATTTAATATATATTAATTTATGGTTTTTTCTTTTATTTATTTTTAAAAAAAGTATTTATATATATATATTTATATATATATATTTATATACATATATATATTTATATATATAAAAGTATATATAAAAAAAAAAAATTAATTAAAAAAAAAAACATATGAGTGATTAAGAAGAAGAAGGAATAAAATTTCACAAAAAGTAATTGGTAGAAATATTTTAATTAATTGAAAATTTTACAATAAAAGATATAAAAGGAATAATCGACTAATACAAATAAGATGACAATTCATTATATTACGACTAAATTTAAAAAAGAGAATTACAACAAATATATTAATTTGAAGAAATAAATGAAATATTTAATATATTATAAAAGTTTTCTTTAGAATTAAAATTTATTCGAATATCATACTTTAAATAATCTGAGAAAATATTGAAAATTCAATGCATATAAAAATAACAATAATTTAATTTAAAATTAACAATAAATAATTTAAATAATTTAAAATATTTCTTAAAAATTTTCGAAATAGATAATTTTAATACTATTGCATAATATTCATCCTAATTTTTGAGTTTAAAATATCAAAAAGTTTTCCAAGAGCAAATAATATTAGTTTCTAACTGCGATTTTTATATTTCTATAGTACTTTATGAACCTAGTGAATATTCCCTTTATGAAATATTTGAATCTTAATAAGGATTAATATAAAGATTTTCATACTAACATTTATAAAAAGATCTTATAGAAGCACTTTTTTTTATACATACATTAGGATATGCATTTAATAATTTAACATTAGATAATATACATTATGATAAATATATAAACTCATTTGTTTTGAGCGGATATAATAAAATGATTTTAAATTAAACGAATAATTTAGATTATTTTTCGAATGATGTGTTGTAATTGGGTTATATTTTATTTTAATTTCAGGTTGTTTTTAGTAAATTATAATTAGTAGAAGATATAAGATAATTAGATAATTAATAAATAATTAATTTATCAAAAAATATATATAAAAATACAGACTTTTATGTGAATTCAAAATAATTTTATATTATTTTAAATACAAATATCTACGAATAAAAAAATACTAGTTGATATTTTTAACCCAAATAATATTTGTGATATTTTACACTTAGCTTTATGCTTAAATATTAAAAAATTGTATAAAGAATAAAGACACATAAAGCTTTTACTAAGAAAATGATTTATTAAAAGAAAATAAATTTTTATAGCCTTTAGATTAATAATAATCAAAAACTTGGTTTTATAAAGGCCATTTCAAGAATGGGAATTTCGATGGACAAGGAAGTATTTATTTTTAAGAAAAACTTCTTTTTTAAGGAAATTGGTAATACGGTTATAACGAAAATTACTTATAATTATTTTCTTTGGAACAGTTTAAATAAAAAAGCTATAAATAATCAATTGAAGTATGTAACGAAAACGAAGAAGAATAGGGCATTTTAAGATTGTTTTTTAAAGAGAAAACCCAATAATATATATAAATTGATATGAAAAAATTAACCAAAAAAAATTAAATAATAAATGCTTTAAATGCAATAATAAAATATTTACAAATAAACATTTCTCGTATTACTTTCGACTTTAAGAAAAACTAGAGATTAATAACATAAGAATCTTAATTTATTGAATTAGAAACTAATAAAAAAGAGCCTAATATAAGATTGGAATTTAATAGTTCGTATGTTATAAAAGAAGAGGAATTCTATGTAATATTAGAAAAAGCAATCAAATTGTAAAAACTAAGCTTAGAAATGTCCGAAACTTAGATTACTGATATATTTTTTTATGGTATGGTTTCAAATTAGAAATTGTAAAATTTACATTTATTAAATCTTTCCAAATCACATTTTTTTTCTGATGAAGGTTTTATTGTTTTCCTAAGAAGTGCCCTTACAAAAAACTTGAAAATTTTAATTTTAGAAGATACGAAATTAAGCGATATTTCAATGCAAGAATTATGCTTTTCGAGTAATATTACTTAATTAGAACATTTAAATATAGCAAAATGCTCAAATATTAAAGAAAAGGCAATTATAGATTTCCTAAAATGTCCAAACGCTTAATTTGTGTAATTTTTAGATTTATCTTTTCTCGATTTGGCTAATAATGTAATAGAAATAATTTGCTTGTCCCCTTTTATGAAAAACATCCAGAAAATTTTGATTAATAATTGCTAGAAAATCACATTCAAAATCTTTGATTATTTCTCCAAATCCAAAACCGTAAACTGTATCCATTAATTAGAAATTTCGAATTGTTTATAATCTTAAATGGACATCCCTTTAATTAAAATAGGTTTCTTGAATGGGCTTTTGGAAAAAAGAAAAACTAAGATGGATTTCAATAGTTTGATGAATACAGACAAATTTGGAGAGTTAAAGGTTCTTAATTTAAGTGGATGTCTTATTTATACGAATCATATTAAATAATTAGCTTCTTCGCATTCTTTTAAGTGTTTGGAAGAACTCAATTTAATGGATTGTCCTTAGATTAATGATGAATCTATTAAAGAAATTTGTTTTTCGGAAAATTTTAAGAATTTGAGAATTTTTAATATTAGTAATAATAAAAATATCACTAATAATGTTTTCGAATACATTGGAATGTCAAAGATAATATGTAATTTGGTATAATTTTATATTTATGAATGTGAGAAACTTGATAAAATGTCAATATTGATGATTTAGAATTTCAGAAATTTTTATAATTTATAAGTTTTTGGGTTTGATGAGAATTAATTTAGTATGTAGTTAATTAGAACTATCAACTTTAGTCATGTTCATAATAAAACTACTTTTTAGAAAATTTAATTCCTTAATATTAAATTATTTACACCTATACTTTTCATTAGAATTAATTTAACTGAAATTTTATAGTTTAATACTAAATAAATTAGACTTGTTGTTTAGTAAGAAAATGTAAAAAATTAATATATTTAAATGTACATATATTTTTTAAAAAAAGGAATTAGAAGTGATATAAACGCTTTCTTTATTAATGAGTCATTAATTTGTTGAAATTGATGATATTAATTGTTAGATATATGTTAATAATACTTAAATTAGTTCTTAATTATTAGGATAGAGATAGTTTAAATGGGAAGATATAGACATTGATATTGATAGATTTTCTCTTTTTACACAAAATTACTATATTTATAATAGGAAAAATTATCCTCAAAACAGGTTTAAAAATTCAAAAGGTAACTAAATTTTAAATATGAAGTCTTATTGTCATAATGAAACTTTTAAAGCTCTAAATTATTTAGAAAACGTTCGAAATTTGATAAAATTAGATATTTCTTATAGTAAAAATATAAATCATAATGGATTTTAGTTTTTAAAATAATGCGCTTTTTTCAAAAATTTAGTTGAACTAAATCTTTAAAATATGAATTTATTAGATAAACACATATATGAAATGTGCAAAGATGTTAAATTTATTGATTTAAGAGTTTTAAATTTGAAAAACTGTCATGATTTGACTATTGAAGGGTTTAAATATTTCCTTTGTGCAGGAATTCAATATACTTTATAGTTTTTAGATATTCATAATACAAATATTGAAGGTACTTAATTTACTATTTCTTTGATATAATTAAAAAAATTATAATAGTTAAATTAAGGAAAT